TGCCTGCCGCCGGCGCCACCGAGGGAGGTGCGGGCCCTGCGGTGTCGCGTGCTGAGCCGGTGCTGCTCGGCCGTGGTCCTTCTCTGCTGAAGATGAACGTCTTCCTAGCCCGGAGCAGGGACTTGACTTTTCTTGGAAACAATTAAATCAAGTGACTTTTTGCCCAGTTAAAGATAATTTAGTGGAAAGTTTTCTCTTTAGTGAGAACCTTGCAAATTGCTGGGAGATCCACACTTCTGATGTCTGTTACTCGGGGCTTGTGGTGCGATGTGTAACAACGCAAACATCACTTTTAATTTTGGAAATAGTTAATGTATTAGAATTCGCGCCTTTTTTCATAGCTAATTGGATTTGAAATTGGATTTCATTCTTCTCTATCGATTATGTGCCTGTTTGAGTTTGGCTACTGTTAATATATTTTTCTCCATTTTTGATGATACCACATGGAAAAGAGATGTGGTGTCTTACTAGAGAAACAAAGTTAATTCAACATGACAAAAGTTCTCCTTCCTTATAACTCTTCAAGAATAGTGATATAAAATGAAAGCTTATATAATAAATTCGATAATAGTAAGCTCTTGATCAATTAGTCAACTGTCTAATATAAATAAATCTTTTTGTGCTGAAGTACTGCAGTAACAAAATAACTTTTACTGTTAAAATGTATTTAGTGAGTACAGTTCTAAGGAGAGCCTTGTAAAATTTCAGACATCTGAATCAGTCTCTTAAATGATGAGGTATCATATAATTGGGGAAAAAGGAATGCATGTTTGTTACAAACAAGGTGATATGTTAGATTGTATTGTTACTCCTTGATAACTTAAGAAGTTATTTCATACTGATCAAATGATACTTTGAAGATACTCTTAAACTGTGTAGTATTTTTTTTTCTTGCTAAAGCATGAATTACGACTTAAATCCAAAATAGTTCCAGTGTGAATATCCATGTTCCAAGAACTGGTAATTGGAACAGTGTTTGATGAGTACTGGGTTATATTTGAATCACAGTTCGAGTGCTCCACCAGAAGTTTCTGATAGTATACTTCTGTCATTTGAAAACTGAAAGTGAATTTTTGTAAGTTTGTTAACTGTATCTGAACTGTAATTTGCCTTGTGGTTGTTTTTTTTTCCCCTTCGTTAATAAAGATAAACCTACTCTTTAAGTTAAAATAAACCATCAATTAAGGCTTCTGTTATCCTTCAGTAACCTTTTTCTGCTTTGCTTTTGCATTTCACCTGAAGAGATGCTTCAGGCCTATAAATGTGAATGCCGAACCCCAGTATTTTTACTGTTGGCTTTTTTTTTTTTTAATAGTAGTAGAAATAATGTGGGTGAGTGCATCTTCATAATGTGCCATTCTACTGGTTTATTAAGGTAATTTAATCAGGATTATGACATCATTTGGTTCTAAATGATCTGAACTTGCAAAGAGGAGGATGTCCATTCATGCTGATTTCTGACAATTAGTTTAGTGTTAAAGTGAAACTTAGAGGAGCTATGATTGAGCTTAATAAGAAATGTGAATCTCCCCACTGAAAAAAAAAAACCAACAACCACCCTTCTTTTTTGT